CGTGTCTTTACTGCTATTGTTTCCAATGCTAATTAAAGCTAGCCCTGGGTTTGCCTATACACGTCGCAGCCATTTTACTGTGTAGGCAAGCCCTGAGGTCCCAAGCCTGTCAGAAGTCTGAATGAAGTCCTCTATCTCGGAAGCAATCTGAAAGCTGGTATGACCATTTCGGGGCATGCAGCAGTACATTCTCATGGAGAGGAAAATCACCTAGTAAATGAGCCAGTGAATTCTGTACAGCTACAGATGTTCGGCCAATTGTTGATGGAGCTCTGAGCAAAAGAAGAAACAGAAGGACTCCCAGAAATTAGGATACAGCAGTCAGTGAAAGTGAACTTGCACAGATTTACAAAGGGAACTTTACATTAAACTTCCACGCGCGCAGAGCTTTGCCGTCCGAGCACACACTTTGCGTGTACTTGCCACATGCCATAAATTTTCTGACTTGTTTACATCCACTTTTATAATAACTCAGACCCTATTATTTGACCCAGATTGTTACAATTGAGCTCTAAACCACTTGAATTAAGAATTTCTACAGGAAACTTGAGGAGGTTTAGAAGCATCAAAGAAATATGCAGATGCAGACTTTATTAAAGCTACTTAGCTGGAAAGAATTGCCAGAAAGTATCTTTGTGCTAATGTCAGCCAATTTTTCTAAATTAATTTTGAAACAATTCGTCATCCATCTTCCTCACCTCCTCCCAATTTACAGCAGTAAACATTTCTGGGACAGCACAAGCAGATGATAGAATACTTTCCTTTTAAGAAAGAAGACAGCGTAACTTCATACCTCTACAAACTTCACCATATTTGGTAAAGATTCAGTAAAGGTTTGCATTCTGTGACCGCTACAGGAACAGTACTGGTCATTTCTGTATACCTTGAAGAGCTGAGAAAATTAACCCACCACCCAAACCCACATACAAAGCGAGTAGCTTACAGTAAGCTAATCTCAATTTTTTTTTTTTTTAAAGTATTATTAAACTACAGAAGCAATCAGGCAGGCATGACGTTTCAGTGCTCCAGCAACTTTCGTAACAGTTGCACTGACTTATTTGGCATCTCATCTTGCCTCAATATGACCCGAAGAGGGATTTTGTTTGATATGAAAGAGTATGGCACACAGAGCACCAAGAGATAAGAGCCTTGTACCAATCTCGACTTGTCATGATTTCTGTTTTGTAAAAATTACGCATGCGCCATACAGAAATTAAGAGCATTAAAATGAACAGCTGGTGGTAGCCAGGGGGAGATTAGACTTTTTCCTCATTAAAAATAAATACGAGAAAGCACCACAGGATTAGACTACTGAAGGGTGCACTCAAACATCACCACAAAAGCAACTTCTCTTAAAAAGGGCAGGACAAATCACTTCTAGTACAAACGTAAAAGATGCTGGGCAAGCTCCTTTTAACAGATGAGTTGGGCTTGTAAATGCAGACAAATCTCTCTGCATACGCAGGGCAAACCTCAGAAATTTCAGCCAGTTAAACAAGACTCCCCAGCCAGAAACATTAAATTCTGAAACAGAACCATTTAGAAGACACCTTTTCCAGCTGAAGAACAAGGTGCAGTACCACGAGATGTTGGTAACAAGTCACATGTCTGTACACGCAGCGTTTTAAGAATCCAATTTTCTCTGCTCTTCTGGAAACAGAAGTATCACAAGCCTGTGATGGCAGAAAACTTTGCAAAGAAAAGTTTCAGAGAGTTAAGAGAACCTCAAAGAGACCAAAGAAAATGAGGCCAAATTTCAAGACATCAGTAATTCTGGAAACTACTTTTAACATAAAAAGAATACAGAGACTCTATTAGCTGTTTTATAAAAGCCACAGCAGCAGTGGTTGGGATTTGCTACTTGCTTTGGTAAGCAGAGGAGGCGGCCAACACGGTGTGTTTAATAACTGGAGCTCCAAGTATAGAGAATGTGTGTGCACACATGGCTTTTTTTTTTTAATGCAACCGATTAAGTCATCACCCATCAGGTACAAGCAAACTTTACATTTATGACAGAATAAAGTGTTATGAGGAATAAAGCACATGATCAAAATCTAACATAGCAGACTCTGGAGAAGACCATCTACCCAGGTTTTAAACATTTGTTGAGCCAAGCAAGAACTTTCTCAAGCTGAAACATCTTTTCATGTGAAAGGAATTTGCACTTTAGGGTCTGCACTGAAAAAAAAAAACACCTGTCCAAAAGCCTCTATAACTTTGGCCAAGATGTTTTTGAGGATGAAACTTGTTTTCTGTCTCACTCCACCCTTTATTAGAAGAACTTGGTGTGAAAAATTCTGGAACTGGTTTACCTTGAGTCAGTAGCTAAAGGCAACACAAAATCTTCCAGATCAAGGCTTCCTCAGCAGCAGTATGAACTACACACCCAGATTTGTACAGCAGCGTGATTAATCTGAGATTTGCAGTGGGAAAGCAAGCAGCAGGCACAAGGGAAAAAACATTAAGAGGTCCTGTTCACCCTGTAACACTTGAGTGTCAGAGCCAAATGCACTGGAAGTGTTCAAACTATTTTCTGGCATTTAAACAGTTTCTTCAAGTTCAATGATTGCTAATGAGCACTGAGATAACTCACTAGATTCTTCACTAATTCTATTTGTTTTGCAGATAGCAATTATATCGAAATCATGATCGGAAGTAAACCAGTGCCAGTTTTCCAGCTTTTCTAACCATGATGACACACCGGTAGTTATTCTGACTCTTTGGAATTGAGAGCGAGAAAAATCTAGCCTTCCCCTTGTCTTACTCTCCACAAAAAGTATTTGTTTGCATAATAAATATTTAGATTTACAGCAGTTAGAAGCAAACTCACAGGCTAATGAATAATAAGAAAAATCAAGCTGGCATTTTATTACATTGAGATTTCTTACTGATTGACAGCAATCATTAACTGAAGTATAATAGACTGGTAAAGCTGGACAGCTTGCATAGGTATTTTTACATGAAGAAACTGAGAAAGTGGCATAGATAATTTTAAACACAAATAATTGTTCACCTTAAAATAAGGACAGTACAAAAATAATCAACACATTTACATTCATTTATCCAAGGCCACCTCTTCATCAACAGAAGGGAGCAAAGACAATAGTATATAGGAATAATACAGCTTAAATTCTCTCACATCTATTCCAAACAGGAACTAGGAAGTTTATTTAGCTTCTGTTCCCTTAAAAAGTTGTTCCAGCCTCCGATCAGGGAGAGGAACCGAACCCGTCGAACTTCAAGCTATCAAATCCAACACTACCATGCTACTATTGAAAAAAACATACACATTTATAAAAATAAAGCTAACAAACTAACTGTACAGCCTGTGGTCCTGATTCTGACATTTATAACAAACAGGACGTAGACAAAATTATGGTCTATGAGGTGAGACTGGCCACAGGCAAGAGTTAGGCCATGTGTTCAATTTATAAACCTGGGATCTAAGCTTCTCTTTACAACAAGATTAGCTAGGCAAATCTGAGATAACTGGAGTTTACTATTTTTATCTGTTGCAAAGACCACATGAAAAAGTAAATAAAGACAATGACACTGTGTGACAGAAAAATTAAATACAAGAACCAATTAAAAAAAAAAACGAACAACAACTAAAAACCCCAAAATACCTAGTAAGACCAGCCTACTAATTAGGCAACAACTTACACAGCTAGACTGGAGAAACTTAGTCACCCATTAGAAACAGAATATGGAAAGGCTTAAAATTTTTTTTTTATCATACACAATATATTGCAGCGGATATCCATAAACTCCAGCTGTTAATCAGCATGACAGAGGACATCATATTATAAATCTAGTAATTCAAGATACAGACGTGTTTTTGAAGTGGTATTTCTGAACCTTTGTAAATAGATGAACAAGCTTCCGTTTTTGTGAGCAGCTCTGATGACATGGTGTTAGTGTACTGAAGTATCTTAATTTACATTTCCTCAAGGCTTCTCTTGATAGCTTCTTCCAATTCTGCATCTTGTTCTGTATAAATACAAAAACCCGATTGTAATCTCAAGGTACAGTTGATAACTAGTCATAAACACAACTACATTAATATTATTACATAAAGCAACAAATTACTTCTATGGGCAATGTCAGCAGTCTGCAAAAAAAGGTACAGAAACAGAATGAAAGTATTTTCCCTTCCTTCTGTCTTATGCTATCTTTTCAACACGTTGAAATATAGGAGCAACCTCTACAACCTTCCACTGTATTAACCAGGGGCAGCCCAACGATTAGTTTAAGAGTGTAACGCAACTACGTATTTACTGGTCAAAATAATACCAAGATTAGAACCCATATGTATGCACCAAGAAAAATAAAGTATTAAAACACAAAAGACAGACACACAAAACAAGCAGAGAGGTTTCAGTATTTTCATTCCAGTTCCTTATCAATAGATATTCCCGTACCTACATTCTAACTTGGCACCACTGTTGTCACTCTTACTAGGAAGGCTAGACATAAGTAGAGAAGAAGTTTTACCAACAGTAAGAATAGTCTGGATCAGGGCTGTAACATTTTTGATGGTGGGGAGGAAGACTGCATTGCACTCATCTGACTTGTTAACAACCTCTCAAACACCTTTCATAATACTCAAAGAAGAAACTCCGTTTCTGCATTACATTTAGGTTGTTTTGGACACTAACTGTGTGGTGTTAGTGAATTAAATATCATAAGTTAGACAAGGTTTGTATGTACAGTAAATATTGATACCAATGGTATAGTTGGAAAAACTAAAGCAGCTTTCAGACACACTGTCATTCTTGAATTACTCATCTTCTGCTTTAGAAGAACACAAGCACATCCTATAAAAAAGCTGTTTGTTCTTATGACAAAAGAAACAAAATAATTATATATATTTACATAACATTTTAAAACTTTAATATTGTTGGGCTGTTTTATGCAAGGCCTAGATTTGGAACAGAAATAGTATCAGTGAATGCTCTCTCATGTCAGCAGAGCCAGTCATTCACCTGGACTTAACTGTAACATCCGGTACTATTGATAAAAGAGGTAAGTTAGTTACTGAAAGGAAAACATTACATGGTCACAAAAACAAAAAAGAAATTTTGAAACCAAAATAAAGCAGAAAGCCAGTTGCAGACAACTGCTTGCATTAACACACGTTGTCAATTAGCCACTAAGCATGTGCAGGAATCAAGAATAAGGTCCAAACTGTGACTCTGTTGCTAATGGCATGCAGTTAGCTCCACAATGATACCTGGATTGTCCTCTATTCCCTGGAGCTGCTGAAGCAGCCTTCTCTGCCTCCTACACTTGCTTTTTGCTTTCTCCTCTTCCAGCAGTTGCTAGTGCTTTTTCCTTTTTACCCTTTGCTGGGGTTGATTTTGCCTCCTCACTCCCTCTTACCCCATGATAGAACTGCCATTAACCACACAGGCAGCCACTGAACACAGCTGAAGCCAGGCTGCTTCATAAGGTCAGATGCCTTCAGCACTGCAGCATCACAGCTGGGACCTCCTGTATGCACCAAATGCCACTGCAATCCCCGATGGCAATACCCAGTGCTAGGGGGACCTGAGCGTGGCAAACTTTCAGTACTGTAAATGAGTATGTTGGACATTTAATAACAATGTTTAGTAACAGTTGGTAAATTTATAACTGAATAAATTCTGGGAATATAAGATTCAGTTACCAGTTTTATCACTGACCTCGTACAAATTATTTATTGAAATTTTTAGTTCATTTTATTTCCATCGGGTGGAAGGGCAGAGTCAAGCCTTTAAACAATAAATTACTTTCAAACTGCACTGTAGTCTGTCACCAAAAATTAATGACTACATTGTATGAACACCGCCTCTAAGCACAACAGCAAAAGGATGAAAACAATTTCAAATAAGGGAAGATATGATGTGAGCAGACAGCTGTACCGCTGATTTGAACTTATGCATAAACCTACAGGTCTTTTAGGAGACCAGATTGCTTTGTTGAGATATAATACCTAATTTTGAACTATTTATTCAGAAATTCAACTATTTAGTCAGTAGTTCTACTCTGAGTCAACACAGTCATATTAAACTTGTACAAAGCGAGCTCAGTCAAGTCTTTAATTGCAGAATACCCTGTGGTGCACCAATAAAACAGATTTTGAGTCTGCTGGCATACTTTTCAGGTTAGGAAATTATTTTTTATTTATAACTCAGTGTTCTTAACTACTCAAGATTGCCCAGCATATTTTAGAGAGTATTCCTAAGAGGTCACTTGCCGTAAAACCAATTGTAAGTCTAGTTTCTCTGTCTTCCATAATTAATAGCACTCCTGAACACAGAAAAGTAAAAATTAACAGACCTTCCTCTTTCTTTGTTTCTTCTAAGCTCCTCTTCACTGTTAGTTTGATATCTTCATCCTCTTCACTATCTGAACCTTAAATGCACAAATGAAACATAAATTACATTCCTTCTAATAAAAAAAAGTTAACAGTCCCCTCTTGCATTTGTCTTACTGTAACAACATTGTAGGTTGGATTTGAAGAAATACACTTGTTACGATCTGAAAATCAAGATACAAATACATTATAGTAGTAGTTTAAGACAGTAACTCAAGAGACAGTTATTTTTCACCTACCTTCTTGCCTTTCTCCCCAAAATCTAGATGCAGACTGCTTCAATTTTATATTATTTTAAAGTGGTAACAAGAAATAATAGGTGTAGAAGCTACTGTTAGTGTCTACTGCATTTGCTTTTTTGTAATACTCAGTTATGAAAAAAAGACATGACTCACTTTCTACAAAATTTATCAAGGATTTAATTACGGGAAGAGGTGCTATAGTGTGTCTCTGCCTACACATGATCTTAGCTGTATTTTGTTGCCCAAATACTCCATTTGAACAATGGAGTGCTATAACTCAACTAAGTAGTGCAATTCAGCAGATGTTCAAGTCTCACAGAAGAAAAAAGTCGATACACTTAGTTTAATCTGCTAACTCATCATAGCTAAGCCAAAACTCCACCACCTTTCCCTTTCTAAATAATGCTCTTCATGAGGCTGGTTTCCAGTTCCAGAATGACAGCTTTATTTTGAAGTGTCTAGTAAGGATTGGCGTACCCAAGGTGGTGCTGGTTTTTTTTTTCCATTTGTTTTAAACAGAGTCTCAGTAAACTACAGGTTAAAAAATAAACAAGTCAATGAGTCACATTATGTATTCATTCTCCTGCTGCAGGCTATTGCTATTTTGGGAGATAATCCCTGTAATGAGGTCTTACAGTATTCGCAATCAACTAGGTCTCCTATGGTCATATCAACAGAAGTACTTCCCTTAAAGTCATTATGTTTATTAGTACACAAATGTACTTCTGATTACGTTTAACAGCAAAGAACATTCCAACTTGGCAGTGCCAGGTTAGCGGTTGGACTTGATGATCTTAAAGGTTTTTTCCAACCTAAACGATTCTATGATTTATGATATGACCATCTAATTTACTGACTCTGTGACTTCTGGCATTTTAAATGACCCAAGTTAGATATTCAAAGTGACAGGTACACTTCCTAAAATTTGTTTTCAAACCTCTGACACCTATACCTTGTTTGAACAGCAACGTTGCTGACTTTCCCAATTCCAGGAATACAAACTCCAACAGCTGGTATCAAACAGAGATCAGGAGCCCACAAAGATGCCAGAAATAGCTGGATATACACTGCAGTTAAAATGGTCTTTCTCCAGTCACTTGGCAGACTGACTGTGAAGCCTTTTTGGAGCTGCCTACTATTTCTGGGCAGATGAGATACTATTTTTTACATCATCGCCCCAAGCAAACAAAGCAAAAGAAACAAAAATCCACACAACCAAAAAAAAGGTCATTACAATCACTTATGAAAGGGAGGAAAAAGTGCAAAGAAAAAGCTTTGCACAAGTGGCTTCTCCCTTATTAACCTTCTTTTTAATCTTCTAACCCGAAAGACATCTCAGACTGCTCTAAAAAGTTTTGTACCTGTACCTAGAGGTCTAACAGTTGAAGCAATCACTCCCTAACTAATTTCTTGGCGTAAGTATAATGGAAGAATTGAGTTCTTGTGAGCAGTAAGACACAGTACAAGAGGGTCTCTGGTTTGCTACCATTTCAGATAAAAATGCATTAAGAGCACTTTTCTGAAGGTTTGTGGGGGTTTTTAGGCAACTTGACAGAAGATGCTGGCAAATGGGCAAAGCAATATTCTTCTGATTAGTATCTTGCCTAGATGGTTAAGCAGCAGAAGATAGGAATAGTCAGAAATCCAGGAGTTGCTTTCCGATATGATCTAAAGAAGTCAACTTTCCTGGAACTGTTTAGAGAGTCAGTTTGCATTCACCGCAGAAGCAGCCATGATGGCAACCCACTGACAGGCTGTTAGAGGACAGCACTTTCCTGCTTACTCCTGGCTTCCCCAACCCAGGCAACAGGCTAACTTGACACTCATTTTTCAGAATACAGCAGATCAGCAGCTAAGTTGACTTTACTGTCAATTAGGACAGTTATAAATGCTAAAACAGGATTTGTAGATAGAATTATTAGTTCATTAAGAAAGTTTAGGATTCATCTTATGTATTAATGCAGGCCCCATCTTGCCGAAATGTTTTGCTAGTCACACCACCTTAAATACACCACTGTAATAACATGGGGCACACATTTGTATTTGAACAGAGGTATATACAAACTGGCATGCAAAACATTTAAACATTTTTAAAACAAGCTGCCTGCCCCATGATTTATCCCTGATGTGCAATAACTAATTACTACTTGATAGTTATCACAGAGAACAGGTTTGCTTAAAGCATACTGGAAGACAACACCATTCCACTGCCAGACACTATGAAACTTGAAAACAATTAGTACTGATGATGATCTGTTAGTCTGAGGGGAAAAAAAAATCAGCTCGGAGTCAAATGTGGTTATGAAGCATGTTAAAAGTCTCATGAGCTACACTCCGCCTTCACTGGTCATTACTTGCAAGATTTGTCTCCCCTCTACCTAACTGTATTAATGCACATTCAACTTCCCATGAAGGCAGTTGCTGGATTCTCTGAAATCTTCGAGTTGGTGAAAGTTAACCTATTAAGAGGCTAACAAAGAGCCAAATCTTATTTAGGAGCTTTTCACGCAAAGGCTTGTCAGTATTTCAAATTATACTGAGACTTTCCTTAACCAAAACCCAAAACATGGTTATGCTTGTCCTCAGTGTTCCCCCCCCTGCCCCCACCCTCCCCAAACCTACACAGAGCAAAGACTAAAGGCACAAAAGCAGTAAAGATGAGACTTTTAAGATGTTCTGATATGGCTCTATGGGAATCAGGAATAAGATCGTAACAGTCAGAGGAAAAGCTGTCTGCAGGCAAAAATCCTAGGCAGAAATGCTCCAACAAATAAGGGGGTGGGAGGCAGGAACTCAGCTTCCTTTAGGGACTAGACAGCAAGAACTATTAGTGTGGAACTCATCACTTGTCAACCAAAGAGAAGGAAAGGCCAACTGATTGAACAAATGTGTTTTCAAGTCAGAAGACACCAGGCTGCTTTTCCACATGGGACAGGCCATTGTGCTTGATCTAATGTTGCTTGTAGCGTGTCTGTACCCTGTGACTGAAGTCTGCTCTCAAGGAGATCTTGCATTCCAGTTAAGAATATACTCCATGCAAGTATCACAGAACAGCTGAGGTTGGAAAGGACCTCTGGAGGTCATCTTGTCCAGCCCCACTGCTCAAGCAGGATCACCTAGAGCCAGCTGCCCAGGACTATGTCCAGACAGCTTCCGAATATTACCAAAAAGATACTGCACTGGGGAGCTCAGAACTTGACGGTTATGGCCTTACCAGTGCTGAGGGAAAGGATCACCTCTCTCAACCTGCTGGCAACAGCCCTCCTAATGCAGCCCAGGGTACCATTGGCCTTCTTAGCCATGAGAGCACACTGCTGGCTCATGGTCAACTTGGTGTCCACCAGGATCCCCAGATCCTCTTCTGCAAAGCTGTTTTCCAGCTGGTTGACCCCTGGTCAGCATATATCAGTGCCTGGGGTTGTTCCTCCCCAGGTGCAGGACTTTGCACTTCTCCCTTGTTGAACTTCATGATGTTCCTGTCAGCCCATTTCTTCCCTGTTAAGGTTCCTCTGGATGGCAGCACAACACTCTGGTGTATCAGCTGCACTCCCAGTTTTCCGCCATCAGCAAACCTGCTGAGGGTACACTCTGCCCCACCATCTAGATCATTAATGAAGACATTAAACAGGACCAGACCCAGTATTGATCCCTAGGGTACATAGCTGGTTACTGGCCTCCAATTGGACTTCACGCCACTGATCACCATGTTCTGGTCTGGCCATTCAGCCAGTTTTCAATCTACATCACAGTTTGCTCATCCAGCCCACACTTCATCAGCATATACTCCTGGTACTGCTGGCATCTTCTGATGACGAAAAGTAAATGAGAATGTTTAATTTGGAGAAATCAGGCATGTCCTGTCTCTCTTGTTAAAATGCTTAGCACAGTCTGTAGCTCCCAGCTCCTCTGGAGTCAGAGGAAAAGCAGTTGCCCAGTCTCTCAGCCAAGAGATCTTAAGATATGGCCTCTTCTCTAGTACATTTTGTTAAATAAACAACAGCTAAGAAACTCTGACTATACCTATTCTCTCAAAGAAATCCTACTGCTCACTATTGTCCTCACGTATTGCCAAATTCCTCCTGGAAGAACAAGAAAACCCAGGAAAGCAAATTCTGGATTAATATGGAGCTCAGAGATCAGAAAGATTAACCGTATAGATGGGAGCAAATATAGTGATTTTTTGACATTTCATGAGTCTCTCATAGAAACCTATTCTGGGAGGAAACTGGTAAACTTCCACAGAATGCAAGCGCCACCCACTGTCCTGACATCAAAGCACCACAGCTTGAATTTGGATTAGTTGCCCACATGGCTAAGCATAATTCCGCCCCTATATCTGATCGTCTTCTCCTGCATCCTCCCTAGTTACCACCATCCCCTTAATAATTTTCATCAGGTTTACCAGTTCCACTGTCTCACTAGAGATTTGATTTCCCTCCCCCAGCCCTAGTCCTCCTCCCTTGCCGCACAACTTCTTAACATACCTCCTGACTACTTCACACATTGTACAGTCTCACACCCTACCTCCACTTCTCTCTCCTACAATGCTCCTTCTCTTAGTCTTTTCAGTAATTCCCAATTTCATCTGCCTCTTTCCCACCCCAATGCACAGTGACGTTAATATCACACTTAACTCCCTGTCTCTCTAACCACTAACCCTTTTCCTTTTACAGTTGATGTCTGAAGTTTTAGTGGTACCTTACCTTAAGGATACCATTAAAGTTACCTCATTCAGGATCCTAGTAACTACTTAGTCAAAAAAAACTTAAGATCAGTACCCCACCCTTACCTTCACTAGCAATCATGTTCAGTATGCGTGATCACGCTGCCTTTAAAATACCGTTCCTTGGCTTCCAGATTCCTTTCCTTTATTCCTTCTTCAATACGTCCCTGGAGGATCCTCCCCAGTACGTACTGCTCTAATCTCTGTTTCTTCATTAAGGTAGCATCATCTGTAAAGTACAGCTCGGCAAGTACAGCTGCTCCCTGCTGAGGGTTCACAAATACACAGACCTCTCTTCCTTCATGCAAACTAAAGCTTCACTCTATATATCTGTGCCTACAGATGCTCATTTGTCTGTTCATTCAAGTGTAGCACAATTAAAATTAAAGCTCTCAATCCCCTACCCTCCTCCAATTGCATTTTTTTTGAAACTGTGGCCAGTACCATGATGGTCACTCGGACTTTCATTTAACCTTCATATTAGATACCTGTCTAAAATTCACAACCAGATTACAAAAAAATCCTCAAGGTTTAGTTTATGATCCGAGTGGTAAGGTCTTCCCAGTTCATCCACTTGGCTACAACTCTTGTTCAGACTCATTATCTTAGGTCTTAATACATTCCTTTCTCCCTAGGGCATATACATATATTCAGAGATGCACACAAGAGATGCCACTGACATACCAAAGCCAATAATAACTTCCTGTTGTAGCTAAACACAAAGTTACAACTCAAGGATGACTTTCTTATCACTCCCTACTGCAATAGGCTGTGGCCACTGTAACAACAGTGTAAATAAAGGAATAGGTTCTTACTGGAGTAACTATCATTCATTCATGGTGCATCACACTGCAGATGCTCATGCCCTTCACATTCAGTCTCTCTGGACAGTGGGGGCTGGAGGCTGTGACCTATCTTCAGTCATTCGCAGTTCGTGTTAACTGAAGGTTCGGAAAAAGCAGAGACTGGGGTCAGATGTGGTATTCACATTGGACCTCAACACCCACAAAAACTTGACTACTGAGAAGGCAAGCAGTTATTCTCAAGGTCTTCTGTAAATTAATTCTTAAGTCCTCTTAAATTCTTTTGTTGGCTGTATGTAAACCAAAAGCTTTTTGGGATAATGGGAGCTAGGAAGCTTAGCAGCATCCATCAAAATGAACTGAAATCCTGCTCTTCCAAATATAAACTCTCATAGAAGCTGCATTCAGTAGTATTTAAATGCTTCAGGCAATAGTAGCAGATTGAAGATGCAGGCTGACAACTCCACTTGAGCACAGTGGAAATGAACCTTATGGGCCAGTGAAAGAGGCGCAGTGGCTATTTGGCAGACAACATAGTACATCACTACACCATTGATTTTGACAGTCTCATGAGACAGCCTGGCTTTTTAAAAGAAAGGAGAAGAAATACTCCCAAAAATTTGGTCCTCTTAGTATTAAAGAAGTCTGCTTTACTTAAGAGCTCAGTCAATAGAGGATCTCATTTGAATATGACTGTGAGAAATACAGTTAAGCTAAAGCCATCAACTTACACAAAAATCACTATTGTCAACCAAGAAG